TTAACATTTAATTTTATACATCAGAAGAGTGTGCAACTATTTAAGTATTTTATTTTTAATTTTAATATACTGTGAATTTAAGATAATGCAATCGATTGATTGCAATCGTTTAAAAGAACTCATAGTCTAATAACTTAAAGTTTATTTAATAAGATTCGAGATCACACTACCCGCATATAATACTACGCAGTTGTGTTAGAATTATTTTCTAGATTCTTTTTTAATCAATCTAGCAGGTAGTTTGATGGACGGGCAAAGAATACATACAAATAGATACGATGTCTATACAGTAAAAACTCACCCAACTTGTTTTTCTTCAAAAGGTATAAATGTCTGAAAGGGTAGAAAAATTGTACACCCAAAGAAATATCCATTCAACCGAAATATTCCTGCAAACAATTTTTAGTGTGTCTGTATAATCTATGTTATTTAAATTAAACCCAAATAAGTAACCATTCAACAGGAATATTACATAGAACAATTTTTCACGGATCAGATAAACTGGATTATTTAAAATAAATCAAAAGGAGTAACCAGTTAACATGGATATTCCTTACAAGATTGTTGACTGTTTAGGTAAAGTCTTGATTCTTTAAAGTGAGTGAGTGAGTTCCTTAAAAAAGTTGTTACTGATTTAAAAAAAATCTGGGTTATTTAAAGTAAATTTAAGGGAATATTCATTCACCAGAAATATCACTTAAAACAATTTTTACCGATTAAATAAAATCTTGGCTATTTAAAGTGAACTCAAACGAGTAACCATTCAACAAGGATATTTCTTAGAACAGTTTTCGCATATTAAGTAAAATCAGAATTATATAAAGAAAACCCGACAGAGTAACCATTCAACAGGGATATCCTTTAAAAGGTTTTTGTTTTTTAGTAAAACTAAGAGTATTTAAAGTAAACCTAAAGTTGTTTCCATTTAACAAAGTTATTGCTTAAAAGAGTTTTTACTGATTTATTGAAATCTGAATTATTTAATATAACATCTTCTATTACTATATTAACTTTATATGTTTTGTGAACTAAGTTTACATATGCTACCATTAGTTTTTTTAAAACTTTATGTATTTTAATATTACCTTCAAATTAACTTTTATAAAAATAAATTATTTTTAATTATAAAACATAAAATTTTCTATTATTTTTCAAATTGACTATTCTTACTTTAATAAATTATGCAATGAAATATACCTGTATTAATTAACTACAATACTAATAGAACACATTGAAAATATATTAAAAATAATTGAACAGTATATTAAATATAGTTGTAAATAACTAAGTTAACTTTTAAGTGACTTTAAATTATTTCATGATTATTATAATAAAAAAATAATATAAACAAATATAGACCATTTTCCTATAAATCG